TTGTTTTGACGCATCATTTTTGGGTCTTGGTTCGCAGCGATTTTGAAGTGAAAAGCCTCCGGTTGACGAGCAAAGCTCTCAATTATCAGTTGCCTTCTGCAACCATGGGTGGTGGTGCATCTACTGAGCACAAGAGCTTGATTGAGGGCAAGTCCCCAGAGGAAATCGCGGCAGCTCTCAAGGAATTGCCGCCAGATCAGCTTTCCAAGATTTGGGCCGCAGTGGACAAAAATTCGCCATGCCCAGGCCCTGTGGATTGCAGTAGCATCACCGTGGTTGCCAAGGACTACAAGGGCATGCTGGATCAACCAAGCGCGCCAAAGTTTAAGGGTGCGTTGGCCCAGATCTATGTCCGAAGCCAACCCTATGGAGGTTCCGATAAGAGCAACAATGGCCACCGCTACGATTCCATCCCGATCGTGAATGGCATGATCAGCGCTGGAATGAGTTGCCAGCTGATTCACTACACACACGAGGAGCACGACAAGTTTTTCGAGCTTTGCAAAAGCTTCGACTTTGTCATCGTGCGATGCAATCCAGGCCAGATCAAGGCAGACGGCGGTGACCAACAGAAGTTTGATGATGGCATGCGTGCTTTGAGGAAGATGGGCAAGCAGGTTTGGCCATCCCCTGATGTCATGGAGAAGATGGGAGCCAAGGATGCCTTGTGCAAGGTGGCTACCATGAACATTGGTCTCCCAGACACTCTGGCCTACTACAGCCCTGAGGAGTTCTCCGCTGGCTTCAAGAAGACCATGGCGTTCCAGCCACGTGTCATCAAGCAGAATCGTGGCTCATCTGGCGAGGGCATTTGGATCATCAAATTGAAAGATGAGAACTACTGCAAGGAGTACGGCGAGAGGTCCTGTGAGGATGGTGAGAAGCTGGTCCTCATGGAGGCCAATGACAACCATGAGGAAGAGCACACGGTGGCCGAGTTTGTTGAATTCTGTGTTCATGGCCGTACGGACAAGTCAGGTGAGTGGACCTCCAAAGGTGTCGGCAAGTACTTGGAGGGTGGCAAGGAGGCAGGTGGCCAGCTTGTGGATCAGCGCTTTTGCCCACGTATTGTGGAAGGCGAACTGCGCTACAATCTCATCGGTGATTCTTTGATTGGAGTCATTCACAAGAAGCCCAAGGAGGGAGGAATCTCTGCCGTTGGTGGAACTGGTTCCATCTACACCTTCTACGGACCGGAGGAGCCACTTTTCGCAAGTTTGACCGAGAACTTCTTGAAGAAAGACTTGCCCCATGTGATGCCTTCCCTGGACTTGGCAGAGGAGCCGTTGCCACTTTGGTGGACCACTGACTTCATCAACGCCTCGCCTCCCGGAACCAAGGCTGAGGATGAGAAGTGGATTGTGGGCGAGTTCAATTGCTCCTGCGTGGGGATCTCCCGTTGCTTGGCTGCCTACTGCAAGGACGACACCCCCAACGCCTGCTGGGATGACATCTCAGAGGAAGACAAGGCAGAGGCAAAGAAGATGGGCGACCTCATGGGAGAAAAGGCGTTGGCCATTCTCTCAAAGTGAGAGGCTTTTCCCATTTCTCACCGCATGTTTTCACGGGCACCATGTCTGCAATCGCAGCATGGTTTTTCATCTCACACCACTTTGACATGATGCAGTCAGACGTAGTCAGACTGACGTTGCCTTCCTGGCAGAAAAGGATGAACGAAAGAGGCTCGTGCCCTTTGGATAAGGTGGGGGGAATGACGTCTATTTTCCTCGTGTATTTTCCTCTTCTCATTTGCAATGTTTTTATAGTGTTTCCATGTGGATCCTTTATGATCCTTTGCCCTGGGTCGTCGAGACATCTTTGCAAGCTTGCAACACTTCTTCAGCCTGGTTATTTGATGTTGTTTGGTTGAGCTTGCTTGAAGGAAAACCTTCCACGGCATTCACCCAAGCTCTCTCCTCAATGGACAAGTGCAGGTGTTGAGTTGATTCTGAAACTTGGGCCTGTTACCCTCAATTGCAACAAGTGCAGGTGTTGAGTTGATTCTGAAACTTGGGCCTGTTACCCTCAATTGCAACAAGTGCAGGTGTTGAGTTGATTCTGAAACTTGGGCCTGTTACCCTCAATTGCAACAAGTGCAGGTGTTGAGTTGATTCTGAAGCTTGGGCCTGTTACCCTTCCATTCTGCTTTCATCCTGAGGCTGACGTGAAGGAGGTGGACACTTACTATGGCTGCTGAAGGCCTGGTCATGTTCATAGACACTTTGGTTGCTTTGAAGACCCTTTGACTGAGAAGTGCCATTGGGCCACTTTGTGCTTTCCAGCTGCGTTCGTTTGGTGTTGTTTCTTTTGCAAAGGGTTGCAAAACTGGTATCAACGGTTAAACGGTTAATCAGAGCAACTCCTGTGGATTGTCCGATGGTTTTGGCGAATTCTTGAGAGTTAGTCATGTTATATAATGTTTTATAATGTTATTATATTGTTGTATACTTTCTGATTTGTTTTATGTAGATGTTTTGACGTATCATTTTTGGGTTGGCTCGCAGCGATTTTGAAGCAAAAAGCCTCCGGTTGACGAGCAAAGCTCTCAATTAACAGTTGCCTTCTGCAACCATGGGTGGTGGTGCATCTACTGAGCACAAGAGCTTGATTGAGGGCAAGTCCCCAGAGGAAATCGCGGCAGCTCTCAAGGAATTGCCGCCAGATCAGCTTTCCAAGATTTGGGCCGCAGTGGACAAAAATTCGCCATGCCCAGGCCCTGTGGATTGCAGTAGCATCACCGTGGTTGCCAAGGACTACAAGGGCATGCTGGATCAACCAAGCGCGCCAAAGTTTAAGGGTGCGTTGGCCCAGATCTATGTCCGAAGCCAACCCTATGGAGGTTCCGATAAGAGCAACAATGGCCACCGCTACGATTCCATCCCGATCGTGAATGGCATGATCAGCGCTGGAATGAGTTGCCAGCTGATTCACTACACACACGAGGAGCACGACAAGTTTTTCGAGCTTTGCAAAAGCTTGGGCTTTGTCATCGTGCGACGCAATCCAGGCCAGATCAAGGCAGACGGCGGTGACCAACAGAAGTTTGATGATGGCATGCGTGCTTTGAGGAAGATGGGCAAGCAGGTTTGGCCATCCCCTGATGTCATGGAGAAGATGGGAGCCAAGGATGCCTTGTGCAAGGTGGCTACCATGAACATTGGTCTCCCAGACACTCTGGCCTACTACAGCCCTGAGGAGTTCTCCGCTGGTTTCAAGAAGACCATGGCGTTCCAGCCACGTGTCATCAAGCAGAATCGTGGCTCATCTGGCGAGGGCATTTGGATCATCAAATTGAAAGATGAGAACTACTGCAAGGAGTACGGCGAGAGGTCCTGTGAGGATGGTGAGAAGCTGGTCCTCATGGAGGCCAATGACAACCATGAGGAAGAGCACACGGTGGCCGAGTTTGTTGAATTCTGTGTTCATGGCCGTACGGACAAGTCAGGTGAGTGGACCTCCAAAGGTGTCGGCAAGTACTTGGAGGGTGGCAAGGAGGCAGGTGGCCAGCTTGTGGATCAGCGCTTTTGCCCACGTATTGTGGAAGGCGAACTGCGCTACAATCTCATCGGTGATTCTTTGATTGGAGTCATTCACAAGAAGCCCAAGGAGGGAGGAATCTCTGCCGTTGGTGGAACTGGTTCCATCTACACCTTCTACGGACCGGAGGAGCCACTTTTCGCAAGTTTGACCGAGAACTTCTTGAAGAAAGACTTGCCCCATGTGATGCCTTCCTTGGACTTGGCAGAGGAGCCGTTGCCACTTTGGTGGACCACTGACTTCATCAACGCCTCGCCTCCCGGAACCAAGGCTGAGGATGAGAAGTGGATTGTGGGCGAGTTCAATTGCTCCTGCGTGGGGATCTCCCGTTGCTTGGCTGCCTACTGCAAGGACGACACCCCCAACGCCTGCTGGGATGACATCTCAGAGGAAGACAAGGCAGAGGCAAAGAAGATGGGCGACCTCATGGGAGAAAAGGCGTTGGCCATTCTCTCAAAGTGAGAGGCTTTTCCCATTTCTCACCGCATGTTTTCACGGGCACCATGACTGCAATCGCAGCATGGTTTTTCATCTCACACCACTTTGACAGGATGCAGTCAGACGTAGTCAGACTGACGTTCGTTGCCTTCCTGGCAGAAAAGGATGAACGAAAGAGGCTCGTGCCCTTTGGATAAGGTGGGGGGAATGACGTCTATTTTCCTCGTGTATTTTCCTCTTCTCATTCGCAATGTTTTTATAGTGTTTCCATGTGGATCCTTTATGATCCTTTGCCCTGGGTCGTCGAGACATCTTTGCAAGCTTGCAACACTTCTTCAGCCTGGTTATTTGATGTTGTTTGGTTGAGCTTGCTTGAAGGAAAACCTTCCACGGCATTCACCCAAGCTCTCTCCTCAATTGACAAGTGCAGGTGTTGAGTTGATTCTGAAACTTGGGCCTGTTACCCTCAATTGCAACCAGTGCAGGTGTTGAGTTGATTCTGAAACTTGGGCCTGTTACCCTCAATTGCAACAAGTGCAGGTGTTGAGTTGATTCTGAAACTTGGGCCTGTTATCCTTCCATTCTGCTTTCATCCTTAGGCTGACGTGAAGGAGGTGGACACTTACTATGCCTGCTGAAGGCCTGGTCATGTTCATAGACACTTTGGCTGCACGGAAGACCCCACCGAGAAGTGCCATTGGGCCACATTGTGCTTTCCAGCTGCATTCGTTTGGTGTTGTTTCTTTTGCAAAGGGTTGCAAAACTGGTATCAACGGTTAAACGGTTAGTCAGAGCAACTCCTGTGGATTGTCCGATGGTTTGGGCGAATTCTTGAGAGTTATGTTATATAATATTATTTAATGTTATATTAGTTATATTGTTATATACTTTCTGATATGATATGTTCTTTTTTTGATGTAGTTGTTTTGACGCATCATTTTTGGGTCTTGGTTCGCAGCGATTTTGAAGTGAAAAGCCTCCGGTTGACGAGCAAAGCTCTCAATTATCAGTTGCCTTCTGCAACCATGGGTGGTGGTGCATCTACTGAGCACAAGAGCTTGATTGAGGGCAAGTCCCCAGAGGAAATCGCGGCAGCTCTCAAGGAATTGCCGCCAGATCAGCTTTCCAAGATTTGGGCCGCAGTGGACAAAAATTCGCCATGCCCAGGCCCTGTGGATTGCAGTAGCATCACCGTGGTTGCCAAGGACTACAAGGGCATGCTGGATCAACCAAGCGCGCCAAAGTTTAAGGGTGCGTTGGCCCAGATCTATGTCCGAAGCCAACCCTATGGAGGTTCCGATAAGAGCAACAATGGCCACCGCTATGATTCCATCCCGATCGTGAATGGCATGATCAGCGCTGGGGAGTACAAGGACACCTCCCGAGGATCTACTATCCTCTCGGTGCTCCCGGGCCTTGTCAGCAATGGCGAGGTACGAAGTCTGATGACAATGGCATTTCAATATGGATTGTGGTTTCTCACCATTTTCCTCATGAATTTCTTGAGTGACACAGTTTGCAGCCCTGTTCCCGTAACTGTGTTTGCATGTGCAGTGCCTGCCATTAGATTCATTAGGATGATCCTGTGCTTCACTGGTTTCATCTGCCGGTTTTGCATGCCATGTTGTTTTTGCAGCTGTTTGGTGATGACACTGTGTTTTTGCTGTGGCTTCGCTTGGGGCCCTAAGTCCCGACCTGTCAAAGCAAAGCTAGTGGGCAAACAAAGACACCGTGATGCCAGAAATGGATGGCGATACCGTCACATATCCAGATGCTTTCGTGCCAACTTACCTAGGAGCAGCAGTCACAGGGGTGGAGCCCTAGGGTCACGTGTCACGAACAAAAAGCGTCAGGAACAGACATTGCTTGCCGGCCTTCGAGCCCTGCTTGAAGCTAACGCAACAAAGTCTACACGCGAAAAGAAGCCCAAACAACCAAAGAGATCAAAGAGTTCAGCCAACAAGAAAAGTGAGCCCAAGGGCAAAGACACCTTGTGGAATGCTTTACAAAAGTTGGTTCAGCGAACTGAAAAGAAACCGAGAGAACTGTTACCTCAGCTCAAAAAACTGATTGAGGTAACAGAACAAGGCCACTTAACCGAGCAAGGGAAACAGCAGGGTCCCAAGAGACGCCCTAGTTCAAAGCCAGATGAAGCAACCAATGCAGTCCAAGCACCGGTCCAAAGTCCCAACCGACAGCCAGCACGCCGTCCACCAGGTTCGGTCCGTCGTCCGTGGACAGTCAAAGCAGTCGACCTAGGATATGATCATGTGTTGTCCAATGCTCATGACTTTGCCGCAGCATTGGACGAACCAGCAAAACCTCTTTTGTGCCAAGCAAATGACACAGCAACCTTTGAAGAGATGGCCAGTCTCCTCAAAGGCGCGAAATCTTGCACCGCCACGGTAATTTACACTGGCCAAGTCAATGCAGAAAACGAGAGCATTTGGACCAATCATCACTGCACAACCCAGATTTTACCAGGTATGTGCAATGGCACCTTGCAGTTGAGACAATGCCAAGTTGCAGTCGCAGCCCCAGAGGGCCAAGGACAAGTGCTGACCATTAAAGAAACAGCAAAAATTGAGAAAGCTGCGCAGCCAGCCACCGCAGACCCAAGTGACACCGTTGTCTTGAGAATCATCATGCCTCAAAGATTTTCATCCATTCAGTCCTGGTCCCAGGCAAAGAAGAACCCCGGCAGAGCCATGAGAGAGTGGATTGCAAGATTCTCGACGCCATGGCTCCACGCAGTCAAAGATATCTGGGGATGGGAGCTTTGTGAAGATTCCATCCGTGGCAAAATTCGCATTCAGAAAAATACAGCGCTCCAAATGTTGCCTCGCAGCGGCTCCACAGCAGGTGGTGCCACATGGTTCATTGACCCGACCCATTGGCCAAGCATGGGTCACACGGAGAAACCAGTCACAGTTTGGGTTCCACTGGAGCCCCAAGAACTTCCAACTCAGTACCTGGAGAAGGCTCGCATTCAGACCACAGACATGGGTTTAGCACTAGGCAACAAGCAAGTTGGCCTTCGTGTTAAAAGCACTGACGCCAGAGTCCAGCCAGAACGGGGATCATGGCGCCTTGCACAGGTCCCCAGACCTTATGGATATGACGAAATTGAAAAAATTTTGACATCCACAGGTTTCACAGAAGTCGAGATTCTGGGACGCAGTCCTCGAAAACAAAACACAGCAGTTTGGTTCTTCAAAGCGCGTAGATCAGACCACAGAGTGCAGATCCCAGTCCAGCTTGGAGAAGCTGACAGCGCAGTCCTCCTTTCAGCCTCACGGGAGTACAAGCAGAAACAGCCTTCCAAAGAGCCAATGAAGTTGAAGCGTGAACGTGGCACTTCCTTTGTCGTCCGCAGTTCTCATTTAAAATCAGACCTTGTTTCCACAGATACAGCAACAGAGCCAGACGCAGTTGAACCACAGAAGATGGAAACTCAAACAGAAGACGAAGATGCCAAAATGGAAGGGCAGCCAAAAAGAGCCGCCCCACAGGCGGCTTCTGAAAAGAGCGCCAAGCAAAGAAAGGCAATCCCTATGCCTTCCGGATCTCAAGTGATCCCCAACAAGGGGGGCGGAAACTGCCTTTTTCATAGCCTTGCATCCGCTTGTTCTTGGATAGACTCCAAGGATCGCAGCCACAGACAGATACGAGCAGCTTTAGTCGCAGCCATGCGAAAGCATTCGACAATTTTTGAACACGTGTGGGATCAACGCATGCCAGACGACAGTAGAACAGTGAAACCTTTCAGTGAATACCTTGATGCATTGGAAAAAGAAGGATCCTGGGGAGGATTCCTCGAGGTCTATGCATTCGCTAAGGTGCAAAAGTTTAATGTCTTGGTCATCGATGCTGATATCAATAAAGCATTCAGATTTGAAGGCGGAGACGACGCATCCCCATACGTAGTGCTCAAGTTTGCAGCCAAGCATTACGAATGGGTCAAGTGCAACAGTGCAGCCATTGCTTCTCTATGGATCGAAGCGGACGAACCAGAAGCCAAGGGTCATCGCGGAGCGGCCAAGCGGGTGCCACACACCCCTGTGAAACAGCCATGCAAACAGGTTTTGAATACTCCTTTGTCATCGTTGCATTTGTCCAATTTTCAGTCAAGTGCCAAGCACACAAGCAGCCGCGGCAACAAGTCCGTCAAGAGCAAGGGGTCTTCCTTGCACTTGTCAATTTTTAAAGACAGAACCATAACCCCGGGTAGCCAATCCCGAAATGCCAAAAAGAAGAAATCACTGCAGCTCACCCAGTTCGCCGAAAGCTCTGCAGCAGCCGAGCCCAGCCCATCCCGGAAGCTCACCAAGGCCGTAGGCGTCGAGGAAAAGCATTGGGTTTGTGACAAATGCTCTTTGATTCTTCGCAGCACATGCACTCCGCTCTTGTCAGCCAAACGAATTGCTCACATTCGCAAGCACCATGCCGACCTTCCTAGGAATTTCTTTCACCAGATCCAGCCACGCCAAACTATCATCCCTGCAAGCCATGGCCTCTCGTTGAGTACTGGAGGCTGGCAGTGTGCATGGTGTGATCAGAGGCTACCTCCCCTCCCGGTGGGACAACGCAAAGCATCAGCCAGGGCCCACCTCAACCAGTGCTCAAAGGCCCCTAAACAAGCCACCATGTCCCAGAATGTCAAGGCACTTCTACCAAAACTTGGATATGACCCCCAAGCCAGCCCTGCACAGGTCGCCAGCCTGTATGCCAAAGCCGGGCGTTTTGAAGAAATCAGAAACAGTTCGTCCCATGATCTCACATCCGTAGGAGCAATGGGCCGACATGCCTCTTTTGCTTGTTCCAGATGTTGCCGGTATTGGTGTAGGATCGACGTCCTGCATGATTGCCATGACTCCACCGAGTGCTCATCCCAAGACAGACGGAACAACATCTTGCAAAGAATTGCCACGCTCCAGAAAATGAGCGCACCCAAAAAGAACCAGGTCATTCAGTGTTGGAAGCTCACCCAATCCGAAAAAGAGCTTGTGCGGAAGGCTGCCCGAACCGAAAGCAGCGATCCAAGCAAGCAATTGAGCAAAATGACGGGACACTCCATCATTGCCGTCCCCACACCCCAGGAAAAGGTGCACAAGTTTAGCTACACTTGCCAAAAGTGCACCGGGCAATGGCGCGCTTGGTCTCAAGCCAAGAAACAAGCCACCGCTATCCATTGCCAAGAGAACCTACGCAGGACAAATCTCAGGACCAAGAGACGATGGTGGGAAAGAGTTCGCCCCAGCACTCGCGTCCATCTGATGAAAGCCTGGAAACTAACTGCCTCTGAAAAAGCCATTCTGGACTCGGCGCCTGGGCTCGTTTCGCAACAGAAGTGTGGGTAACACGGCACCGACAGCTTCGCAATGGATTCGCAATTTGTGTGAAGAAGGGATACATCCCCACCCAGGACCTCAGCTGGAGGTCAGTGAACACGATGCAATGCACATTACTTCAGATTCCGAATCAGCATCTTCCAGTGATATACCAGAACCCTGCCACATTCATTCCCCAGCTGGGACTTCAAAGCAAAGGCATTATAAATGTTGGTCAATAAATGTCAATGGGGCCGCTCATGCTTTTGAGCTTCTTCCAGTCTTGGCCACCAAGAAACCAGCCATAGTGTGTCTCCAGGAGACTAACTTCGACAGAACTCAGCGTAAATCCTGGCTTAGTCTCCTCCAAAAACAGGGTTACAGAGCTTGGACATCCAAAGTCAATGAAAGAACCAATTCGCTCGGCCATGATGTGCATTTTGGAGGCTTGGCAGTCGCCGTCCGACAGGACATTGCAGCGCAGTTCGTTTCTGAATGGACAGGTGACGAAGGCCAGTTGCTCACAATCCTACTCGAGAACCTGTGCATCACTTGTATTTGGCGTAGACCTCAGAATGAAAGTGAAAGTTTCGTCCAAACATTAACAGAACATCGCATGTCCTACCACCCTTTGCCTTGGATCGGTTTAGGTGACTGGAACTGGACTCCTGAAGATAACGAAGCCATCGGGCTAGGAACCCTTCTTCCGGTCGTGGACCATGAAGGAACCCCAATACCTACCCGGTGGCACGCCACACGTGCAGTAGACTACGCAGTAACTTCCCAAACCAACTTGGGCAGTTCCCCAGAACTCGATTCCCATGTCTTGGGAGACCACAAGATTTATAAACTACGAATTAACCTTCCCCAGGTTGGTAAGAACCCGACAACTATTAGACCTGTAACCCGGTTTCTTTGTCCACAGCACTTGTCTACCCATCAGTGGAGAAAAACATTGCAGAACGTTTTCAAGGACATCCAATGTCCTCTCATCTCCAACACAGAAACTGAATGGAACACCTTTTGTGCACTTCTCACCCAAAAGTGGCAACAAGCTTGTCCAAACCATAAGTACGAACCTAGCTCTCGTGCCATAGGCAGTTTGCCCCAGGCAATCCCAATGAACGCTAAGAAGCCTTCCCACACCAGCTTCCGTAGCCGTAGGTTGGCAAAATTCTTGGGTAGACTCCGGGAATGGCAACGCCAACAAAACAAGAATCACCCTACAGCTTCACTTTGGAAAAGAATACAGAAAGCCTGGCCCGCAGGCATTCCAATTTCCCCAAACATACAAGAAACTGAAAGCCTAGTCGAACAGGAACTCGCGGCCGAACTTAACCTCCTAGGCAAAGCACGCCTTAGGAATTGGAGACACCGAATGAACACAAATAATCAAGCCACCACCCAGTGGTTGCTTAACCAGCAGACCCCACTGCCACCCGAGATTTGGGTCAGTCAGCCTACAGAAAATAACCCAATAGGAGTGAAATCCAGGACTTACCAAGAAAGTCTACAAGCCATTCAAACCTTTTGGGAAAAATATTGGAATAGACCTGAACCACAAAACTTGGTTGAAATTAATCACGCTTGGTCCCAAGCTTGTGGCTCCCCCGCCCCACTTCAGATCCCGCCTCTCACAGGTAAGCTTCTCCACACCCAAGCCAGAAAACTTCAGGGTTCAGCTGCAGGATTAGATGGCTTTCACGGGGACGACCTTTGCTTGTTACCAGAACCTGTATGGGAAGTATTTTCCACGTTGATCCACAGATGGCTACAGCGCGGCGAAGTCCCAACAGCTTGGTTACACATCAGGCAGATACATCTACCGAAGGATAATCCTAAAGATAATTCTCCATCGGATCCCAGTAAACTCCGACCTATTTCCATCATGTCCATTTGGTGGAGACTAGTTACCAGCTCAATTGCCAAAACCCCCGAAGTTCGGGAATGGATTCAGACCATAGCGCCACCCAGCTCCCATGGTGGCATTGCAGGCCGTGAAGCCTTCCACGGCATTCTTGCACTTGAAAACAGATGGCGCTCACAAAAAGGCATCATCGTTTCCCAGGATTTCGAAAAGTGCTTTGACACCATTTCGCCTGCAATGGCTCTTGCCATAATGCAACAAGCAGGTTTTCCGCCGCTATGGGCCCGTTTGATTTCAAAAGTTTGGACTCAACAGCATCGGTGGATAACCTACGGTTCGGCCACTGCCGAAGCACCCTGCATTGTAACTAGATCACTGCCGCAGGGCGACGCACTTAGCCCTCTTGCACTGATCGTCATGATGGCAGCCCCTTTATGTCAACTAGAAACAGTGTTACCTGGTACCATCACCTCCGGGTTTTTGGATGATAGGGTTACGTGTGTAAACCGTCCCCAGGATGTCCCCATATTATTACAATTTTGGGAAACCTGGGCTGATAGATATGAAATGATGGATAATGCCGCCAAGTTGCAGATTGTTGCCCTTAAGCCCCAGCACGCCCGTGCTCTGCAGGACTTGCAAGTGCCTCAACAATCTTTGGTAAGACATTGCCGTGTGCTCGGCGTGGACTTCACGGCCCGTGCCAACCAGGCAACCGACCAGCCACAGTCAAGCGTCATCAAACATGCTTAGCCAGCGCTAGTAGATTACGATCACTACCATGCAGTAAACATAGATGCAGACTCTTGTGGCGGACTCGCATCATTCCTCGCGCTGTTTGGGGAATGGGGCTGAGACTACCTCGCAGTGACATGTCTAACAGTTTCAGACGTGCCTTTAAGTTTGCTTTCCGGACCCAGCACATGGCGTCCACAGCCTTGACTTTTGTGTTGGAAGGTCATTTCATGAACCCGCAGTTCATGGCAGGCTTCCATGCACTAAAAGTCCTTTGGAGATGTTATCAGTTTTTGCAACTTCCCTGGAAGCCCGAGGCCCCCCGAGGCCATTGGCAAGGTGAAGTCCGTGAATGGTTGAACAACTTGGGATGGTCCATTGCCGGCCCGTGGCATTGGGTACACGAAACGTGTGGAGAAATGAATTGGGGGGAAAACAGAAAATTTACTTGGGACCACGCCCTTCGCGAAAGCTGGCGACGGACCCAGTTTGATCTTTTCCTGCACCAGAACCGTAGAGATAGTCAGTGCCTCATACATAATGCACACTATAGTGAACATGCACTTAAGCAGACACAGAGCATATACCAAGCCGGTAACAGACATGTAAAAGCAGTTTTGACAGGGGCTGCCAATAGCCCAGCCATGTACAAAATTTTTAGAGATCTCGCACAGGATCAGCAATGTCCTTTTTGTTTAGAACCAGAGGTGGCCGATTGGCATCACGTCGCTTGGCAGTGTTCTCACTTTGCTAGCACTCGGCCTTCCCCACTCCCACCCAACCCCATGCAGCGCCGCTTAGGTTGGTCAGCACCCGATGATTCGATGCAACGAGCTTTGTCTGTGAGTGATCACCTGGCCACAGTCCGCGCCAGAGTCTTGGAATCCCATAGGCTCTAAGTAAGACATAGGCGGTGCACAGGTCTTTTATTTCGGGCCTTGCATCGCGTTACCAACATCACACACGCATGATCAGCGCTGGAATGAGTTGCCAGCTGATTCACTACACACACGAGGAGCACGACAAGTTTTTCGAGCTTTGCAAAAGCTTCGACTTTGTCATCGTGCGATGCAATCCAGGCCAGATCAAGGCAGACGGCGGTGACCAACAGAAGTTTGATGATGGCATGCGTGCTTTGAGGAAGATGGGCAAGCAGGTTTGGCCATCCCCTGATGTCATGGAGAAGATGGGAGCCAAGGATGCCTTGTGCAAGGTGGCTACCATGAACATTGGTCTCCCAGACACTCTGGCCTACTACAGCCCTGAGGAGTTCTCCGCTGGCTTCAAGAAGACCATGGCGTTCCAGCCACGTGTCATCAAGCAGAATCGTGGCTCATCTGGCGAGGGCATTTGGATCATCAAATTGAAAGATGAGAACTACTGCAAGGAGTACGGCGAGAGGTCCTGTGAGGATGGTGAGAAGCTGGTCCTCATGGAGGCCAATGACAACCATGAGGAAGAGCACACGGTGGCCGAGTTTGTTGAATTCTGTGTTCATGGCCGTACGGACAAGTCAGGTGAGTGGACCTCCAAAGGTGTCGGCAAGTACTTGGAGGGTGGCAAGGAGGCAGGTGGCCAGCTTGTGGATCAGCGCTTTTGCCCACGTATTGTGGAAGGCGAACTGCGCTACAATCTCATCGGTGATTCTTTGATTGGAGTCATTCACAAGAAGCCCAAGGAGGGAGGAATCTCTGCCGTTGGTGGAACTGGTTCCATCTACACCTTCTACGGACCGGAGGAGCCACTTTTCGCAAGTTTGACCGAGAACTTCTTGAAGAAAGACTTGCCCCATGTGATGCCTTCCTTGGACTTGGCAGAGGAGCCGTTGCCACTTTGGTGGACCACTGACTTCATCAACGCCTCGCCTCCCGGAACCAAGGCTGAGGATGAGAAGTGGATTGTGGGCGAGTTCAATTGCTCCTGCGTGGGGATCTCCCGTTGCTTGGCTGCCTACTGCAAGGACGACACCCCCAACGCCTGCTGGGATGACATCTCAGAGGAAGACAAGGCAGAGGCAAAGAAGATGGGCGACCTCATGGGAGAAAAGGCGTTGGCCATTCTCTCAAAGTGAGAGGTTTTTCCCATTTCTCACCGCATGTTTTCACGGGCACCATGACTGCAATCGCAGCATGGTTTTTCATCTCACACCACTTTGACATGATGCAGTCAGACGTAGTCAGACTGACGTTGCCTTCCTGGCAGAAAAGGATGAACGAAAGAGGCTCTTGCCCTTTGGATAAGGTGGGGGGAATGACGTCTACTTTCCTCGTGTATTTTCCTCTTCTCATTTGCAATGTCTTTATAGTGTTTCCATGTGGATCCTTTATGATCGTTTGCCCTGGGTCGTCGAGACATCTTTGCAAGCTTGCAACACTTCTTCAGCCTGGTTATTTGATGTTGTTTGGTTGAGCTTGCTTGGAGGAAAACCTTCCACGGCATTCACCCAAGCTTTCTCCTCAATGATCTCAATGGACAAGTGCAGGTGTTGAGTTGATTCTGAAACTTGGGCCTGTTACCCTTCCATTCTGCTTTCATCCTTAGGCTGACGTGAAGGAGGTGGACACTTACTATGGCTGCTGAAGGCCTGGTCATGTTCATAGACACTTTGGCTGCACGGAAGACCCCACCGAGAAGTGCCATTGGGCCACTTCGTGCTTTCCAGCTGCGTTCGTTTGGTGTTGTTTCTTTTGCAAAGGGTTGCAAAACTGGTATCAACGGTTAAACGGTTAATCAGAGCAACTCCTGTGGATTGTCCGATGGTTTTGGCGAATTCTTGGGAGTTATGTTATATAAATTTATATAATGTTATATTAGTTATATTGTTATATACTTTCTGATGTGTTCTTCTTTTGATGTAGTTGTTTTGACGTATCATTTTTGGGTCTTGGTTCCCAGCGATTTTGAAGCGAAAAGCCTCCGGTTGACGAGCAAAGCTCTCAATTATCAGTTGCCTTCTGCAACCATGGGTGGTGGTGCATCTACTGAGCACAAGAGCTTGATTGAGGGCAAGTCCCCAGAGGAAATCGCGGCAGCTCTCAAGGAATTGCCGCCAGATCAGCTTTCCAAGATTTGGGCCGCAGTGGACAAAAATTCGCCATGCCCAGGCCCTGTGGATTGCAGTAGCATCACCGTGGTTGCCAAGGACTACAAGGGCATGCTGGATCAACCAAGCGCGCCAAAGTTTAAGGGTGCGTTGGCCCAGATCTATGTCCGAAGCCAACCCTATGGAGGTTCCGATAAGAGCAACAATGGCCACCGCTATGATTCCATCCCGATCGTGAATGGCATGATAACCTGGGCTGATAGATATGAAATGATGGATAATGCCGCCAAGTTGCAGATTGTTGCCCTTAAGCCCCAGCACGCCCGTGCTCTGCAGGACTTGCAAGTGCCTCAACAATCTTTGGTAAGACATTGCCGTGTGCTCGGCGTGGACTTCACGGCCCGTGCCAACCAGGCAACCGACCAGCCACAGTCAAGCGTCATCAAACATGCTTAGCCAGCGCTAGTAGATTACGATCACTACCATGCAGTAAACATAGATGCAGACTCTTGTGGCGGACTCGCATCATTCCTCGCGCTGTTTGGGGAATGGGGCTGAGACTACCTCGCAGTGACATGTCTAACAGTTTCAGACGTGCCTTTAAGTTTGCTTTCCGGACCCAGCACATGGCGTCCACAGCCTTGACTTTTGTGTTGGAAGGTCATTTCATGAACCCGCAGTTCATGGCAGGCTTCCATGCACTAAAAGTCCTTTGGAGATGTTATCAGTTTTTGCAACTTCCCTGGAAGCCCGAGGCCCCCCGAGGCCATTGGCAAGGTGAAGTCCGTGAATGGTTGAACAACTTGGGATGGTCCATTGCCGGCCCGTGGCATTGGGTACACGAAACGTGTGGAGAAATGAATTGGGGGGAAAACAGAAAATTTACTTGGGACCACGCCCTTCGCGAAAGCTGGCGACGGACCCAGTTTGATCTTTTCCTGCACCAGAACCGTAGAGATAGTCAGTGCCTCATACATAATGCACACTATAGTGAACATGCACTTAAGCAGACACAGAGCATATACCAAGCCGGTAACAGACATGTAAAAGCAGTTTTGACAGGGGCTGCCAATAGCCCAGCCATGTACAAAATTTTTAGAGATCTCGCACAGGATCAGCAATGTCCTTTTTGTTTAGAACCAGAGGTGGCCGATTGGCATCACGTCGCTTGGCAGTGTTCTCACTTTGCTAGCACTCGGCCTTCCCCACTCCCACCCAACCCCATGCAGCGCCGCTTAGGTTGGTCAGCACCCGATGATTCGATGCAACGAGCTTTGTCTGTGAGTGATCACCTGGCCACAGTCCGCGCCAGAGTCTTGGAATCCCATAGGCTCTAAGTAAGACATAGGCGGTGCACAGGTCTTTTATTTCGGGCCTTGCATCGCGTTACCAACATCACACACGCATGATCAGCGCTGGAATGAGTTGCCAGCTGATTCACTACACACACGAGGAGCATGACAAGTTTTTCGAGCTTTGCAAAAGCTTCGACTTTGTCATCGTGCGATGCAATCCAGGCCAGATCAAGGCAGACGGCGGTGACCAACAGAAGTTTGATGATGGCATGCGTGCTTTGAGGAAGATGGGCAAGCAGGTTTGGCCATCCCCTGATGTCATGGAGAAGATGGGAGCCAAGGATGCCTTGTGCAAGGTGGCTACCATGAACATTGGTCTCCCAGACACTCTGGCGTACTACAGCCCTGAGGAGTTCTCCGCTGGCTTCAAGAAGACCATGGCGTTCCAGCCACGTGTCATCAAGCAGAATCGTGGCTCATCTGGCGAGGGCATTTGGATCATCAAATTGAAAGATGAGAACTACTGCAAGGAGTACGGCGAGAGGTCCTGTGAGGATGGTGAGAAGCTGGTCCTCATGGAGGCCAATGACAACCATGAGGAAGAGCACACGGTGGCCGAGTTTGTTGAATTCTGTGTTCATGGCCGTACGGACAAGTCAGGTGAGTGGACCTCCAAAGGTGTCGGCAAGTACTTGGAGGGTGGCAAGGAGGCAGGTGGCCAGCTTGTGGATCAGCGCTTTTGCCCACGTATTGTGGAAGGCGAACTGCGCTACAATCTCATCGGTGATTCTTTGATTGGAGTCATTCACAAGAAGCCCAAGGAGGGAGGAATCTCTGCCGTTGGTGGAACTGGTTCCATCTACACCTTCTACGGACCGGAGGAGCCACTTTTCGCAAGTTTGACCGAGAACTTCTTGAAGAAAGACTTGCCCCATGTGATGCCTTCCCTGGACTTGGCAGAGGAGCCGTTGCCACTTTGGTGGACCACTGACTTCATCAACGCCTCGCCTCCCGGAACCAAGGCTGAGGATGAGAAGTGGATTGTGGGCGAGTTCAATTGCTCCTGCGTGGGGATCTCCCGTTGCTTGGCTGCCTACTGCAAGGACGACACCCCCAACGCCTGCTGGGATGACATCTCAGAGGAAGACAAGGCAGAGGCAAAGAAGATGGGCGACCTCATGGGAGAAAAGGCGTTGGCCATTCTCTCAAAGTGAGAGGCTTCCCCCATTTCTCACCGCATGTTTTCACGGGCACCATGACTGCAATCGCAGCATGGTTTTTCATCTCACACCACTTTGACATGATGCAGTCAGACGTAGTCAGACTGACGTTGCCTTCCTGGCAGAAAAGGATGAACGAAAGAGGCGCGTGGTTTACTTGGATGGTTGCATGCTTGCCATGTCAATTGTGTGAATATGTTTTTCCTCGCTTTGGATTTTGCCGGCAGTTTCTCAAGACTGTCACACTACCCTGGATCATAGGCCATGGCGCTGATGTTTCGGTTGTTTGGCAGGAAGAAAACCCGGGGGCAAAGTCTGCCTGAGACTGACATGGAAACAGTTGCTTTGTCCAGTGTTTGGAGTTTCAAGTTTTAAGAGCGTTGTTTGGTCACTGAAGAACTGTCATCAAGATAAGATCAGTGACAGGCCAAAGCACAAAATTGATTGGTTGGCATCATAAACGAGAAGAAAAGCTGGCGCGAGCGACTGCATAAAGAGTCAACAAGGTGCATGCCCATCCCGACTCTCAAGTGGCCAAAGGTCAACCATGATGACCTTCCCATGTCAAGCATGCTGAGGGAAACACAGTTCTCAGCAGCATAATTTGCGGGCAGCCGTTAGGCTTCAGCTTGCATAGAGTCGTAGAGAAGTCAAGACAAAGCACATTATCGTTCTCGAGTGTCATATTCATGGAGTACATTAGTACAATTACTCGGGAATCCGGGAATCAATACGACCCAGTCACGCAATCGCTAAACCTGAGCCTCCTGAGCTTTCAGTTTGCATGTCATCGATGGCTAGCTACAAGTCAGTTCAAGTGATGTTGAGAAACTCCACGAACATGTACGGTCTTTATATGTCTTTATCAGATTCAAAAAAAACGGCTGCTTTCGCATCCTTTTGGCCCATTTCCGATATTTCCATGTGTCCAACCGGGATTTCCCATATTATATGATTATGATTGATTATGCAATAATACTGTAATAATATGTAATAACAATCTATTTCGTTGGTCCCTTCAAGTTGGAAGTCCAGCATTTTGGGGCACTCGACACTCCCTTTTGAACAATGAAATCAATGAAATATGAATGAATTTGGACTCTGGACTTCAACTTGTTTTTTAAATGGTTTTTGTTGTCTAATTTAATATCATTGATATTCATTGATCATTCATCATCCCTAGGGGCGCGGGGTCCCCAGCTGGAGATTTATGAGCTTCCCATCTTGATCGATGGCATTGAAGGAAGACCTGCTGGAGGCTGGAACCGGATGGAACCGTGGTCCGGTACACGCATTGCTTGGATAGCAGCAAGCTGCTCCTAGTAATAGACTTTTAAGATCTTTTAGGGATCAAACGCCTGGCAATTACACTGGATATATAATTATATATATATAATAGCATTATATAGCTACGCATAGGCTTGGTTACATTGCCCACGTTTGTTGGAAAAGTCTTGGCCACGTTGCACCCGAAGAAGAATATTGTAATTGCTGTCCTATTGCTTTCCCTTAATGTTGCCCGTGATTTTGGCTGCCACAGACATTTTGACCGCCACAGACACATCATACAAGTGGCACCCAGGGGAGGGCAAGTGGATATACTGCAGTCGCATGCTCGGAGTTCTCGGTGTTCCCAATACGTCAGTGCCCCCAACCTCGTCAACGGCTGAGGATGTGGATGGCCCTGTTGTTCTACCACAGCCCAGCAGAGCTCACGAGGCGGGGGCGCAAGGATCCTATGGTCCGGGAGTGGCTGTGGCCAGGAACATTCCCCTTCTTCCTATCAGTTCCTATCATATCATGTTTGTTTGCCAATTCACTACAGTAGAGTGCCCTTTCACATCTTTGGCGGAATGATTGCACGAGATTATTTGTGATGATTCAATGATATTTTATGGAATGGGTATCGCTTGTGCACCTGCAACTTGTTTGGTTACCTGCAGAATGTCTCGCTTGTGAACGTGAACATCGCCTGCGAGTGAGAAATGTTGCCCTGTTAATGGCAGAAGGGTCTGATAATGTCTGGTATGTTTCTGGAGTGTTTCTGGAAATGGAGGAACAAGATGGCTTGGCATTTGCTTGTTGGCTCAGTCGCAAGAGCCGCCTGCAGGTGGCAAGCAAATTCGAAGGTTTTTGATCAAGTGCTCTTCGAGTTGTTTCAGCGTTTGGGTTTGCCCTACTGTAGTTCTTTGGTGCGGCTTGATCAAAATTGAGCGAACTGCGCGTTTGAAGATCCACCTGGATGCCCGGTAGATGCAACCCGGTTGCAATGTAATCAAGAATATTTCAGAATCATCCCTATCGAAACAGAACATGTTTTGCAAGAATAGACAATATTGCAAACAGACACTTGTCTGGATTTGAGATGATGTTACTATGGTTGATCGATGTTGAGTCCATTTCGGCGTGCTTTTTTGTGCATTTGATCATTTTGAAATTAGCGCTATCCTGCGCGGACGTTTCTGAGGTTTCCGGGGGGGGGTACTTGTTTTGGGATGGATAGCTGATGCGGAAGAACCAGTTTTTTTCGGTCAACTCAAAGACGCGGCAGCCTAAACAGACTCTTTTTTTTGATTTTTGTTTGAGCCCTTGAAGATCCAGGTCTATAAACTTTCACAATAAAGTTGTTGGTAGTTAACTCGCAGCCAGCGTCTGCAAGTGAATGAGTACTGAATAGAAAGTCGTCACAACATGAAAGGTTGATGAGTTTGTGCAGTCAGCAGCGCCTTCGCATCGCCGCGACCCAAACGCAGAGCCACGGGGAACGTTGTTCAATGTTGTTCAAATAGTGAGTGTGAATGCCAGAAAAATATCATACCATGTTAGTTTTAGAAGAAACTCAAAGACAAACCAAAGAGGCAGCACATTTCCCCGTTCTTCGTTTTTTGTTTGCTTCGTCATGTTCCATCATTTTCCTTTGCTCAGCATTTTTCCAAACCAGTCGGGGAAAACAATGGCGTTGTGTTCGTTTCATAATTTCAATCGTAAATTTAGGGGGACTTTTTGTAAGCAAAGGGCATAACTTTGACCATGCTTGGCCGTTCAAGTCAAAGTGGGAGCTGGTACGGGCTCCACTGACTTTTCCGGAAATGCTGATCAAACAACATGTCATCGGCGTTTTGCCAGGTGGATGGTGGGCAGCGGCTCCTGAACCTCGTGCCAGCACCCACTTGGGAGCCCGCAGCTCAAGACCTGAACGCCGTTGGAACCGTTGGTCCAAAACAAGATATCCATGAGGTGCGGCAGGAGAACGGCCTGGCGCCCCATTGCGCGATATCAACGATGTTAATCGGCAGGACGTTTTGCTTCGCAATGGGTTCATGTTGCTTCCAAGGCCCGCGTTTGGGAAGCAGGGTGCGCTTGGCTGGGTTACAGTTACGTAAGTTACGCTCGTATTCATAATTGATCATATGATATGACTGATTCGCGGCGACTTGGTTTTGGCGTTTCTGCATTTTTGACCCCAGGTACGCCTTGTCCCCAGCAACGGAGAATTGGGCGCGGCACGTGCGGGAGGCATTGAAATCCAATGAAATCCATGCACATGTCAAACGTATTCAATCGTATTCAGACGTCACCAATGTTACAGAATGTTACAACTGTGCCGAATCCTGTGGTTGTTCTCTCAATATCATTTGAAACATGATATTTGAAGCACATGAACCAAACAGAATAGAAGTGGTGGGGGGGTTCAACATGTTTGAGTATGGTCCAGATGCCATCAGGCAGATCGCGCACGGCCAGCTTTGGCCGTTGGTTTCGTTGGCGCCACATCGGCGGGCAAGAGTTGGCTGGTTGGGGTGCTTGGTGCTGTGGCATGCTATGGCGGGGCTCAGTGCCTTACCCAAGATATCACTTACATAACTAATAATTGCACAGATCCTACTATCATATACTATCATACTATGCTCTCATTATTGGGCTTACTAAGCATTCTGAAATGAACGAGACGATATTCAAAGTTACTAGATGGGTTCAGTGATGGTTACTGTGGGGATCATCGCAGACAAGGTGAGCAAGCTGCAAAGTGACGGCGCGGCTCAACCAGCGAGCTTTGAGCAGAGTTTCGCGGGAGGTCGGGCGCTTTCGGTGGATGAGATGTTCAATTCTGGCCCAATACTGGTCCTTTAAGAATTGGAAATTATAGGTGATTCCACCTGCAGGCGTAGACCTGCAATCCATGACTTCAGACATCAATTTGTACATGGACCCTGTCGCGTGCTGAGCCATTTCTTGCATATCACATGATCCTTACTTGTTCCTGGCTGTGAGTTCTTCATCTCTTCCTGTAGCCCAGCAACATTCAGGTTGACCATTTGTACTACGTGGACTTTGAGGGGCGCCCGCCTTGATTTGGCCATTTTGGTCGCATCTCCTCAATCCAGCAGATGGCCGAGGACCTATGGCACCCTGCCATTGCAGTACTATGCTGCAGATGTTGCCAAGGTGCTGCCCATTGCTGCCCTATCTTTTTTTGATGGAGGGGTCCTTGGCATAGTGTTGGTTTACTTTTACTTTTTGGCACTCATATGTTACGATGAGGAAAACATGCAAACCCAAGGGTAAACTAGAAATGGATTGTGCAAACTTTCGCAATTTATCATGTATCGCATTTGGAGGTTTCAAATTGAGTTTAACCAGTTTGTTCCATGCATTTTCCGTGAGAGGAGTGTCCAATCGAGTTATGTAGAGCCACAAGGGCGACCCAAGGCTCGAAATCCCAGTGATTGAGGTGGTTCAGAGATGTGCTGATGTGATGTCCTGGGAGTCCAAACGCAGACAGGCACGGCTGGTGGGAGATCGGGGCACGAATATTCACAGGCCGCCAACCATGCACTTTGAAGGATTTGAGTTCAAAACATAGTTGGACAATGTTGGACACATGTCTTCAAACCCTACTCGCACCATTGAGGGTTCCATGTTGCCTATTGGTGTAAGGAAGGAAGCCTACACGACTGCAGCCTGCAAGTTGTTGGAGTTGAGGTTCTGAAGGAGTCTTTTCAGCCAGCCGTGGCATACCTCATGTGTGATGCCGGGGGCCCAATGTAAGATATTGAGGGTCTAAACGGTCTAAACGCTTCAGCGCATACTTTGACTCCCACATTGCACCAGAAATCCGCGTGCTGACTGCAATATGCAATGCTCAAAGCCCACAAGAACGGGCTTATTCAAACATGTTTTGAAACATCTCGTATACGTATAAGCTACTGATTGCAGTGGGTGGTGGGTGCTTTCCCTATGGATTAAATTATGAAAATCCCTGTTGACGAAACCCTAGGTGCTGTCATAGATGGCATATATAATTTATATAATCATAATTAAAATCATATATGATTATTTAATTATGTATAGTGTGTGTGTGTATACGTATGTGTATATATCTATATGTACATGTAGATGATTTTTCACGAATGTAGCATCAATGTATCGCCTTTTTGTTTATTCCCAACATTGATGTGCTGAGGTGGTGGTGTTTCTGACCCGGGACCTTTGTTTTGCACGACCAATGGTTCAGCTGGTGTAAAATCAGCTGGTGATGTTGGAGGATGTTGGAAGAATTTATGGAATAAAATAACGCTTATTTGGAATATATATGGATATATAAGTTTGGATTGCTTTGGATTGCTGGGTGGCAGGAATTAAAACATACTAAACCGCACATAACTGAACTACTAAAGTCACGAATCCCAAACCAGTTGCCGGTGGTGAGAGGAGAAGCTGGTGTGCCGCAGGGCATTGGAGGAGACCAATAATCCAACTTGCCAAGCAGAGTGGTTTTGTTGGCAACCTTTCTGACAAAATCCGAATTTGAACAAGTTGTACTGTGTTGTACCGTACATTATATAAACGGAATTTGGGTATCCCTATTTTGGTTCCTCTACAGGGGCAGTTTTTCTTTCAATTCGCTGCAGGAGTGTGAGCAGTTTGCGCGCGCTGCAAACGTTCGGGTGGCCGCAGTCTTAGCGAGGTGATTTTGCTGAAGTTAGTGGAGCTCTTCGGACGGAGGCTGAAATGGATTCATTTTGCAGTGTGTTCTTTTGTGGGTTGAGCATTTGCTAATGTTGAACTAGTGAAAACCGAATGTAGTTGATAATTATTATAATTGTGCATGTTGCCCCAGCATGCCTCAGCAAATATTCCTTTGCAGAGTAATTTTTGGACCAAGACGAACGCGCTGCCGCCAGCACTGATCATCGTGCAGAACTGCTGTGGGCTTTTGTGCTGCCTCGATGAAAGAATTTGAGATTCATGGCTACAGGATGCTACAGGTACCGCAGTGCCAAAACCCTTCGGAGGTGATAACGGCAATAAGAACAATGATAACAATAATTTGAGCATAGTCATTTAGTAATCTAGTAAGGACTGGTAAAGTAAAGGATAGTAAAAGCATCTTTGAATTTCAGGCATCCTTGCATTAAGTCAAGCCCACGTCCGTTAGAGGCCTAGTGAAGGAATCTTCGATCCAGTCCGAGGCCCAAAGGTGTTGTGACTGCTGATGGGTGATGACTGTTTTGCCCTTTGATATATACCCTCTGGTAGACTAACATAGCCATGGGAAATGGCCCATTTATAGATGGTTTACCTATTAAAAATGGTGATTTTCCATAGCTATGTTAGTTTACCAGAGGGTAAATTGTCATGGGCGGTTCACCACTCCTTGTTCTTCTCAGGAGAAATGCACAGAGGCGTTTCGAAGAGCCAGAGACCCAAGTCTTGCACCAGACAGCCCTGGTTTCAAGGTGTTTTCAAGGTCACAGGGTTTCGTAGAGGCTTTGTCTTGGCTGAGGCACACTTCAGTGGCGGGCGATGGATACTTCTTCAGCAAGTGATTGAATCGCTTGGCCCAAGCTACTACAATTTACTATACTCATCATAATACCACAGTCTATACTCTATCAAATAAGCAAAACTATATAAAAATATTGAAAATTTGTTTATATTTATATAATATATATATATATTATATAACACTCAAAAATGTAAAATCATACCCCGCAAAAAAACAAAATGGAACTTTTTCAGTTTACATTGGTTTAGGGGAAAAAAAGGGAAAAGGAAGTCATGTAACTTTTTGATTTTACATTTTTTTGAAAAAGCTGGGAGAAAAGTATATAACTTTTCGAAATTCCAAAATGTACAGTAGAACAATTGTACAAACATGCGACTGGCAAATCACATGTTTCAAAATGTTTTAAAACAATACTGTGAGTGTGGCAGTTTGGTGCATGTTTTTGGCACTTGGCATGTCTCACTTTCCTCGCACATCGCAGCTGTGCACAGTTCGAATCTAGCAAAAAGGCTGCGCCTGGGCAGCGACCTGATTTGAGCCCAATTAGAACCCTTTTCTGGTTGCTACCTTTGCGTCACTCCGCATTGGTAGCGGAGCCCCACGTACGGGGCCATGGCGGGTCAACATGTCCCTGTGCCGAGTTGGGACGACCCTCCGGCTGAGCCGGTTGATGGCGGCGGAGCCGCAGCTGGCAGAGCCGGCATGGGAGCAACCGGCTGCGCCGGAGATCAAGCTGGGAGTCCGACCCAGCCGCAGTTCGTGACACCTGGCTTCGGACTACCTACTGGAGCTCCACTTTTCAAGGCCTACAAGCTGGACTACCTCCTCAGGGCTTTGGACAACAAGGGATGGCGCATCAACAGCAACAAGTCCCACTTCGAGGCCCAGTGCCGGGGATGCCAACGATGCCACGGAATCTACTCCCGCAAGGGATGCTGCCGATGCCGCAAATGATGCCCGTGATGGGACAAGGACCACAAGCGTTCCCAATGATGCCGGCAGCGCAGCAGATGATGATGCCCACGCAGGTGCCCAATCTACTGCCAATGATGAATCCCCAGATGATGCCGGGATCTATGACGTCCAACCCAGGATGGTGGAATGTGCAGGATATGATGGCATCTGTAGCCTCAACTGGCTCATGGACATTGCCTCCTGCTAACAAAGGTGAAGTGAAGGGCAAGTCAAAAGGGGAGCAGAAGGGTAAGCCGAAGGAAGGGCCGGCGAAAGCAAGGCCGAAGAAGAAGCTCCCGCAGCCACTGGCCAAGACCAAGGCTGAACCGCCCGATGACGGAGGAGATGACGACTATGAGTATGAGTACACGTACGAGAGTTACTCTGAGGCTGAGGAGAATAACCCTGAGGAGGAGACAGCCACCAATGACCCTACGCTGAGGTCATCGCAGCTCAGCTCAAGGGCGGCCTCGGTGGATGAGAGTGCCGTGAAGCGCGAGCAGGGCAGTCCACCAAAGACCAAAGCCCGAACTGCAGCGAAGTCAAAGCTGACGCCTAGCGGCAGTGCACCCGGCAGCGTCCGTGGTAGTGTTCCCGGCAGCGTCCGAGGAAGTGCGGCAGCGTCCTCTGATGGCAGCGCCAATACAGACGAGGTCCGACAACTCCTGCAGAAGAGTATGAAGAGACAGGCTGCCGATCGAGGAAGGCCAAACCTCACTTCGGTCAAGCTTGACCAGTTCAGAGGCAACCGCACAGCCTACAAGGACTGGAAGAAGACCCTCAAGGCTCAGCAGGCCTTGTACAAGCTGACGGAGGAGGAATTAGCAGTTCTGGTGTACCTCAACACCGCAGGAGAAGCAAGGGACATCGTCAACCAATTGGAGATTGAGGATCTTCAAGAACCTGGCGGTCTGGGAAGGATCATGAGACTCTTGGATGACGCATATGAGAAACGAGCAGATGAAAGGTTTGAACAGAAGCAGGAGGAGTTCCAAACGTACCGTCGGGCACACGGTGTGTCCATAGCGGCTTACCTCTCAAAGCTCAAGAGACTCAAAGATGAGTACTTGAGAGAAGATACAGAGACAAAAATCAGCGACAAAAGCTTCGCCCAGAGAATGCTGGCGAGAGCAGCGTTGTCGAAGCGCGAGCGCATGGAGGTATTCTTTGCCTCGGGGGGCAAATACCGATCCGATAGGATTGAAAAGGTCCTCCGGTTTCGGCATGCAAACTTGCATGTTGAAGAAGCTGAGAAGTATCAAAGCCGAGGAGCACAAGGAGACCTGAGGTACCGCCCCGCGAAGAAGCCCTACCGGCAGAGCCGAGGCCATGGAGGATATGGTAAGAGGCGCCACGGTGCCCATGTGGCTGAAGCGGGCGAAGGAGAGACAAAGGAGGAGGAAGAGTCCTTCGAAGAAGAGGAAGATTATGAAGACCTTGACAATGAGGACCTGGAGCAAGAAGCTTATCCAGCCGATGCCCGCGGAGAGCAGTGGGATGACGATGAAACAGAGCAGGAAGAAGAAGAAGAGTGGACTGTGCATGAGCTCAAGGATGCTTATGCGGCTGGATGGAGGGCCAAACAGCAGAGCTCCGAGATGAGAAAGGGGCGTGGCTACAAGGGCCAAGGCAAGAACAAGAAGGGCAAAGAGAGGCCCCCAGACTACAGGAAAGTTGAGGATCGGAAGAAGTCTTCGAAATGCGCAGCATGCGGCAAGTATGGCCATTGGCGTGGTGACGCCATTTGCAGCAAGACCCAGAGCGGAGAGGTGCCAGTGAGATCGGCAGGAGCATCCTCAAAAGGGAGCTCATCGGTCAAGGAAGAGGCTGGAACCCTCTTTACGACCAAGGAGGAATCAGAATCTCCAAAGCGAGGAGATGACCATGGCCGAGTAAATGTGTCAAGGGTCAACTGGACCTTCATGGTTGGCACTGGCGGCTGGGATCTGCTGGAAGAGTACGAGAGTGAGGAGTCGGGATCCTCGAGTAGTTCTGAGGAGTTGGCCCCAGCGCTGGTAGCAGCACCGGCTTCTGCTGGACGACCACCGAAAAGCAAGAAGACCAAGATGAAGCTTCGAGCCGTCCTCACGGCCTTGGAGCAAGCTGTTGAGGATGAAGAAGAAAAGAAGAAGCTCAGGCGAGCACGTCGAAAGCAGAAGGCCAAGAAAGAGGATGCTGAGATGGCTGTGGACCCTGAAGAGATCTTGGCTATCCTGCCGAACCTCACCAAGTCCGAGAAGAAGACACTATTGAAGCAGCTGATTAATGAGGAGGAGGAAGACGCCGCACGGCATGTCCCAGAGGAGTTTCCTGCGCAGAGGAGACAGGGATATCATCAGGCAGAGCCTGTCCGAGGAGCAACAACGAAGTCGCGGGCTGCGCCCAGAACGCCATCTCTGGCTGCGTCCAGTACACCATCTCTGGCCGCGTCCAGTAGTGCAGGGCCAAACACAGAAGATGTACCCTTGCCGGTGAGGAAGAAGCGACTGGAGGAGTTTCGTCGCCAATTGTACGACAATGCCTTGAATGCAAGAGGCAGAATCCTGCTGTCAGAAGCTTCGGACATTCCCCGTGGAGCACAAGAAGCATGCACACATGACTACTCCCTTCTGAAATGGGGAGCAAATGGGTCAGCGCATTGGGCTGACTGTACCAACTGCAAGTTGAAGAAGGTGCTCTATTGGAGCAAGATGCATGGAAGCCTGATGGCAAACACGGCGGAGGATGAGGAGCTTCCCACAATGGATCTGATCCTAGACACGGGATGCAGGACGGCAGTAGCAGGCCAACGGTGGCACGAAAGATATCAACGTCACCTGCGAGCTTTGGGCCTGGAATGGACCACCGTCGAGCATGAGGAGATCTTCCGTTTTGGAGCAGGAAGCCCAGTTTTGTCAACGGAAGCAAAGGTGTACCCGATTTGGGTTGGAGAAACCAGATCTTGGCTGCGATTGGCAGTGGTGGAGTCCGAGAAGGACAAGCGGGTTGCGGACTGTCCAGCCCTTGCAGGACCGTCGGAACTGGCACGATGGGGTGTGCGAATGGATTTTGCAAAGCAAGGAATATCCATCAATGGAGGCAGCTGGCAGACTTTGAGGTTGTCGCCGTCTCGACACCCCGTGCTGAATGTCTTGCCCCGCAGGGGTGCCACCATGGACCAGTGGAGAACGCCAGATTTGGCGGAGTTGAAGCAGCGACTGGAGGTGGATCCATACAGTATGGCTCTGATTCAAGAGCAGATTACAGCGATCGAGAACGAAATGGAGCTGGAAGCTTCCAGCGAGGAGGATTCCCGAGAGACTGTGGAGCTGGACAATGAAGAATTTGATGAGGCAGCGGCCTTGTGGCAAGAAAGGATGGACGAAGAGGCCATTCGCAAATGGGACGAGCTGGGACTGCCGGCAGAGGCGTTCCGAGCTGATCAAGGTGCCAGCGACACGGAAGAAGGGACCTCTACTGGCACAATTTCCGATGCCAACTCAATTTCGGAAGAAGATGCCAATGATGTCCAATCAGAGGACAGCGAAGGAAGCAGCAGTGAGGAGTCTACGGAGCATGAGGCCATTTTGGTCGCTGAAGCCGGCTGCGCCGACGAAGAAGTGCTCACAAAAGGGCAAAAAAGAAGATTACTGGCTGCGTCCAAGACCATTGGGGAGGCTGCGAGTTATGAGGTGGATCGCCGGAAGCCACCACTCAGGCGGAGCCTGCGGATGAGCCTCACCTGGAAGTTGATCGAAATCTACACCTGGTCTTGCATGGTGACCAGAGTGGCATATGCCCGCGGATGGGAGACGTTCGAGCCAGTGACTTTGCCTGGTTGGGACATCCGATCTCCAGAAGTCCAACGCCAAGCTTTTGCCTATCTGGAAAAGATCGACCCTGATGTGATAGTTGTGGCATGGCCTTGCGGTCCTTGGAGCCCTCTTCAGCGGCTCAACGTCAAGACGCCACAACAGAGGAGAGCGCTGAGAAGGAAGCGCATAAATGCCAGGAGGACACTATTGAGTTTCACGAGGAAAGTGGTCCTGTGGCAGAGGAGGAGAGGCAAAGCTGTGCTGGGTGAGAA